GTAAGGGCCGACAGAACACAAAAGCGCAAAGGAGGGGGAGTAGCTCTATTCATTAGGAATGCTATCCCATTTACCATTGTCGACAGTGTATCTCATGAGAGTGGGACGTGTGAATTAGTTAGTCTTCGCCTAAAATGCAAGGGACAAGAGCTGCTGATTGGTTTGGTCTATCGCAGTCCAAGCTGTGAGGCAAATGAGATCCTATTAAGCAGTCTCAATACTTGGTCCCAAAGTGGTCGATGTCTAATCCTAGGGGACTTTAACGCACCTATGGTAGACTGGGAAAATCTGCGAATTAAATCGTCGGAGAATTCTTTCGAGCAGGAACTAGTTGATGGGATTATCACATGTGCTCTAGTACAACATGTGAAAGAAGCGACAAGGTTCGATCCGGACACTGAATCATCCTTATTAGATCTTATACTGACTCACTATGAGGATGATGTTGCGAACCTCCAACATATGCCACCCTTAGGTAAAAGTGACCACGCAGTTTTAACTTTCGACTTCCATATAACTGTCAGTCATGAGGACGCATCAGTCCAGTCCAGACCCAACGTCTGGAAAGCAAACATACCAGCCATCATGCACTCAGCATCGTTAATAGATTGGACAATAGACCCAGAGTCCTCCATTGAAACGGCCTGGGACGCATTTCGAAATTCATACTTAAAAGTTACCACACCTCACATCCCTTGGACTATACCAAAGGGACCGAAAAACTCTCCACCATGGTTCAGTAGGGAGGTCCGTATTCTTCTTCGTAAGAAAAGGAAGATGTGGGATAGATTTAGGTTACTGGGGACTGATGAGGCAAAATCTCAGTATCGAAAGGCTCGGAACACTTGTGCCTCGACCCTCCGTAAGTCTAGAAAATTGTACGAAGAAAAACTTGTAAAGGAATCCATAGAATGTCCTAAACGCTTGTATTCCTATATAAACCAAAGGACAAGGAGAAAAGGAAATATTCCTGCTCTATGGGGAGACAGCACTGCTTCATCATTAGTGGAGGACGACTTTGGTAAGGCTCAAGCGTTCTCGAACTACTTTAGCAACGTGTATACCATAGAAGCGCCCTTCTCGTCAGCGTATACAGATCCCCCCACACATAAACTGGATAGCGTGACCATTAAAGAACTCGATGTCTTTGGTCTGCTAAATAAGCTTGATATAGGTAAATCCACGGGGCCCGATGAATTACATCCTAGGCTACTAAAGGAATTATCTAACTTCGTTGCAAGCCCTTTAAGTACATGCTTTAACCTATCCGTTACGCAGGGTCGCTTACCGAAAGATTGGAAAAACGCCATAGTAAGTCCTGTCTTCAAAACAGGTACGAAACACAAACCTGAAAACTACCGCCCCGTTAGCCTAACTAGTGTGGTTGTTAAAATATTAGAAAAGATTATTAGGGAAGAGCTGTTTAAGTATCTCGATAAAAACCGGATCCTCTCGGAGAAGCAGCACGGCTTCAGAATAGGTTATTCTTGTCTCACTAACTTATTAGTGGCTCGTGAAAGCTGGTGCGCTCTTAAGGACCAAAAGCTACCTGTAGACGTCGCCTTCATTGATTTCAGTAAAGCTTTTGATAAAGTTCCGCACAACCGGCTGTTATATAAGTTAAGAAAAGTCGGGATTGGAGGCAATTTATTGATGTGGATAAAAGACTTCTTAGTTGGGCGTCAACAAAGAGTTCGGGTGAACTCAAAGTTATCTAGCTGGGAAACTGTGCTTAGTGGAGTGCCCCAGGGTACAGTTTTGGGGCCAGTGCTATTCCTCTTGTATGTAAATGACCTTCCTTGTCTCCTATCATCATCGGTCTTGCTATATGCTGACGATGTCAAGATATGGAAAGCGATACGATGTAAGAGTGATAGCTTAGAACTTCAAAATGACCTGAAGAAGTTATCTGAATGGTCTCAAACATGGCAGTTGCCGATAAATACTTCCAAGTGTGTTGTGATGCATATCGGTCATCAAGGCACAAATACATACATGATGGATAACACTGAGCTACCTGTCGTCCAGACATATAATGACTTAGGCGTTATCGTTAGTCAAGACTTAAAGACTACTGCACACTGCCGTGCAATAGTCGCCAAAAGTTTTAGATCGTTATGGTCAATACGTAGGGCTTTTAGTCATGTCGACGCTAAGACGTTTTTGACTTTGTATACAGTGTTCGTTCGTCCTAAACTTGAGTACTGCATACAAGCGGCTAGCCCCTGCTTAAAAAAAGACAGTGAGCTTCTGGAAAAGGTTCAGAGAACGGCGACTAAGCTGGTTCCCGGAATAGCAAAGCTTCCGTATGAATCTCGACTGGCCAAGCTGAACCTTTTCCCGTTATCTTATCGCAGAACTAGAGGTGACTTGATTACAGTCTACAAATTGCTTAGTGATAAATTTGCACCTAACATGCCCTCATTTTTCTTGTCTTCCAAAACAGAGAATTTACGAGGACACTCCAAAAAAGTTCACAAGCCGAGAACAAATTACTTGTCAGCTGACTATCGACTTTCCCATCGAATAATCAACGAGTGGAATTCACTACCTCAGCACGTGGTTGAGGCTCCATCCGTCGACTCTTTCAAAAGAAAGTTGGATCAACTGAGAGACCACCATTGCCAGGACTAACATAGGCCATAGAGCCTCCTGTCCTTCCCAAACTGAAACTGAAACTGAAACTTAATTAGTCGTTTATGGAAATCGCCATTAGGAAAAGGAAACTGCGAAAGCTAGCTTCCATAGTTTCCTTTCCTTCAACATTATTTTCACTTAACCACCTCACCCTTTATGTCTCTGCTATTTGGCTGTGTCTTCAGCAGCGGTTGCTGAAAATCAGCTGAGGAGTAAGCAGTATTTTACCGTGTATTCGGTGTTAATATCCACTCGACTAATTTAGGGCTAGCGATACCGGTCGGTAGCTGGAGAGGTTTTATGGAAGGTTTCAAATATGTAGTTCAATTGCTCTAGGTATCGTGCTGGCCACTAACCAATTGCTCTAGAGATACTCACGTCGATGTTATTAAATGATCTAATGCATACATACTTCATAAAAAGTGGTTGTGTCTCCCTTACTTGAAAGATTTCTTCTGATTGTACCTTTCCGTTCCCTCGTTACTACCACACTACCTTACACCAATCTCTTCGTTATCGTTCTCTTTTTCTTTTGTGCTCCTTAGTTTTCTATATCTCTTCGAATTTTCATTGTTTTGTGTGGCGCATATATATTGGCGCTCTCTTGTACCAATATTTATGTGTTCAAATAAATAAATAAATAAATGTGCCCAGTAAATGCGTAACAAGATAGGTTACTACAAGTTTCGTTGAAAAGTCGATTATTAATCACAATCTAGAAGGTTTTACAACGGTCAGGTAAAATGCAGTAACTTCAGTAGAATTCGGCACAATGACTCAGTATCTCATTGAATGAATACATAAATAAAATATGACATTACAACAGTAACAAGGATTTACCAGAGAAATAATGCTTTTTATTGTTAATTTTAAGGGCGGTTTGATCCACGTAATCTACCACTGAACACATTTTATTGTTTTGTCAATAAACTCTGTAAATAAACCTATTGTTTCTACCTTAAAATCTAACACTAAGCACGCACTAAATTCCTAACTGCACTTACAGTATCAATTGAACTTGAGTAGGTTGAATAGCTGAATACTCCAATGTCTTACTAATGACTGAAAGCTATTAGTTGTTATCAGCTTTTTTTAACGTCTGAAGTGTATACCGCAATATGAAGTCCTGCAGTCTAATGAATATAGTTCTAAACGTGATAGATCGAGATTCAACATCGCAGGATTTCGAGAAATAACTAATGGTGATCATTAAATGCATTTCGATCGGTATATTTTTTCTTCATTGATTTCATTGTTGTTTAAGTAATACAGCAAGCCAAAAAACAGGTGTTCAAATCTAAAGTAAAGTGTGTTGTTAAGATCTCAAGATATCCGAGTCACCTTTTAAACAGAGGCTTGCAACCTAGACTGAGTTTCCAAGTTTGGATCTCAGTAAGATTGTTTATACTGTAGTGAACATATTAGTATCTAACTTGGTAAACGTCTGTCTTAAAGCCCATAGTGTTTTGAACGCCTCAGTTTCTACCTCTGGGTAGTGGACCGTGGTCTTAAGATCATGGCTGATTTTCATCTGAAGATCCAGACTATGGGCGCTGACTTCCCCTGTGCTATATATATTTACATTTGTATCCGCAATGTGCATGTAAACATACTTAGTCACATTGATAGGCACCAACCATTTTTTAGACCAGCTAATCATAACATCTGAGTCTGGCTGAAGTGCACATGCATATACGCCTCCTATTACTTGACTCGATTTTTGCATCAGCGTATAGTAGCATAGATGACTGAGCCATAATTGGGAGTTCATTTACATACGGTATAAAAAGTAAAGGACCTAGGACAGAGCTTTGCAGTACTCCACTATGTACTGGTTTCCAGAAGGAGCATTTGAAATTCATCCTTTCTGTCTATGACCTACCAAGAAATCCTTGATCTACCTTGGGTGAGGTCCGGCAATTCTTGAATTTTCCAGCCTCAAGAGTAGTTTATATTTTTGGCACCTTATCAAATGCTTTGCTGAAGTCTACGTAAACAACATCCACTAATTTTCTATTATCTAGAGCCTTTGTTCTTTGATCTCGATATAACGTGGCTTGTTGTGCAAGATCATCTTTTCTTGAAACCATGTAGTTCGCCGTCTAACAAGTTGTTGTTTTCCACGGATGTTGTTATGGTCTTTCTGATTATCCTTCTAACTACGACAATGGTGAAGCTAACAGCTTTATAATTTGATGGGAGTTGTTTTGACCCTGTTTTGTCCTTCTAGTTCATAGGTAACTCACCTTGGCCAAGTGACATATTGATTATCGTAGTCAGTTATAGTATCACTATTGTTTTTCCCTAATAACAAAAGGCATTTCATATTATTAATTTTAGCAGATCACAGAAAAGTAACAAAGATGCCTAGTGTGACTACAACAAGTACTGTCAGTTCATCAGGAGTTCGTTTAATGCGTAAAACTTCATGCACTGGTACCAACGATCAAGCTACTAATTCTTCGTTTCAACATAATCCTGACAGAAAATCACTAAGAGATCAACCAAATGTAGGGAAATATAAGTTAATTCGTACACTTGGTCGTGGTAATTTTGCAAAAGTCAAATTAGCACAACATGTTTCAACTGGACGTGAAGTGAGAATTCGAACATTATTTATTTTTACAGATTATGTTTTATGAAAATCAATTAGGAATTTTCTAATTCAATTTGTATATTACTTTGAATAGTTTTTCTCCAAATCTGATATTCGCCTGAATATAGCTCGTTGAAAATAAGTCAGTGTTAATCAACATAAGGTATTCAAGTATTCCATTCGATTTATATGCAGACGAAATTGTAATTGAAATGCAAAGTAGAACAGTATCCTACCTTGTTAACTCACTTCAATCCATCGTATATGTAGTTAATGATAGACAAACAACTTCATCATGCAGAAGTAGTTTCTGATTATCATTTCAAATTTCCCTACCAATTTGATTTGAACTACTTGTCAGATTACTGTATAGATTGAAGACTTCTCAAATTTGTATGGTAATCATTGTTTATGCTTAACCAGTTATTTATTTATTTTTCTTTTAAGAAACTAAAAACCTCCCCCATTATATTATTGCAGGTTGCTGTGAAAGTGATCGATAAAACTCAGCTTAATCAGGCCAGTTTGAAGAAGGTAAGTTAATTAATTAGTGTAATAATAACATGCAATTCATTTACTGAGTACATATTTATTTTTTCAGCTTTAAGTTACTCTAGATAGGAGGATGGTGATTTTATCCGACTGGTCAAACTGAAGTTGAACTTGAATTTGTAACTTACTAATTGAAAGTTATTAATCTGTCATCTCTCCTAATAACTTCAATCAATCAGTCATCATCACATAGAATCTGGTACATGTGAGTATCAGTTCGATATACCACATTATATGAAGACAAAGTTGAATTTTTGAATGCGAATACCAGAGTAGTAAATGTAGTAAAATTATTGTTAGTCATAGAAAAGATTAGGTATAAATGCTGAATTTTAAGAAAGAACAAATTTACGCAGTGAAGAGTGTAAGGTTATTTTAAAACTCAAGAGATGACTAACAGTAAAGATTCGTTATTGTTACTTGTTCTGAACCATTTCACCTGATATTTTCAACTGCTCGTTATGATTATTACCCACACACTAATCAAGTAGCCTACATCTACTAATATGGCCTAAGTCAATAGCTGTTATGCTATTTCATGAATTATATTACGCGTTCGCGCGCGAGACTGATAAGTCCTGGGTTTGAGTCTCGCGGGAGGGGGGCGAGGTTGTGGATGCGCACTGTTGATGAGTCCCATACTAGGACGAAACGGCCATCCATTGGTTCCCGGTTTTCCATGGTGGTCTAGTTTCAGTTGACTCATGATTTCAACTACTGAATTATATTGAAATTCTTGAATTATTTTTTGTGGGAATGTTAGTTTTGCCTATTTGGTTAATATGAGATTCACCATAGATGAGCCGGTGAAACTACTATCTATGCTTCTCGAACATACTGAAATACTATCAAGTAATAAGTGGTTTAGATCATTTCTATCTCTCTCTCTCTGTGTGTGTATGTGTGTATATTGATTTTCTCCCAAATTAATTGTCTATCTTCCTTTATTATTATTATTATTACCTTTTCTAATCGAATCCGTTTTACTCCTTATTTATATGGTTTGTACATAAGCATGAAAGTAAGTGGGGAGAGAGAGAAAGAGTGAATGAATAAGAGATGACAACTAAGGGCAATGGGCCAATATGTATACTACAGAATTCCACAAATAATTAAAACAATAGGCTGTCTGTCAAAAAATCAATAACAATGATAGAATAATAATGATAAAGTTAATTTGACACGTGTTGCTATGTCTCTCTCATTCTTTTTCTATCTTTCATTCTCTGGTTTCATATCTGTCACTCACGAATATTCACACAGACATAGAGATAAAGAGAGATAGAGATAAAATTCAATTATGTTTAATACCTTTTCATTGATATTTTTGTGTTCAACAATAACTATAGTCTCTTTATCCATTGTATAATTGGGAGTAATAATAATAGTATTATCATTATTACTACCGGAAATGTTTGACATTTGTTTCATATTACTTATATGGTTAATTAAAATGTCCATTGAAGCTAGATCACCATGAAAAACCTGGAAACGCTAGACAGCAGTTTCGTCCTAGTTTGGGAATTCTCAGCAGTGCTCATCCACTATTCCTCCGCGAGATTCGAACCCAGTACCTAACAGTCTCGCGCGCTTCCAGGTTTTCCATGGTGGTGTAGTTTCAATTGACTCATAATTTCAACTATTGGAATGACTAAAATCTCCACAAAACCCCTTCTGATAATCAAGATGTCCGCCTAAACTTTCCTATTTTAGTTTAGATTGAAAGTACCGTATCATAGAGATTAGGCTATTGAACGGTTACTATTTGTTTGATTATTCATTTAACGAATTAATGATTTTGTTATGATACTTAGTAAATAAATATAAATTGGTTCACTGGACTAAATATTTTAATCATTATTGAGCAAGCCAGTCTGGTTGGAGATGGTTGACTTTTAAACTCGAAAATGCTCTGATATGGCTGAGAGTAGAGCGAGCCAGCTCTCCTTCTCGAAATGCTCTCACATGGAAACGTGCATGCAATCACTGTCAAGGAAGTCCTACTCATTGCCTTCTTGTGGCATTACTGTTGTTTACAAAATTGACAACATGGAAAGCGAATATTCGGCATTTTAGCCTGGTTAGTGGATATGAAGGATCCACCTAGTTGAGTTATGAAATGTTGGTTCTGAACCAGTTGTGTATGTATAACCTTCGTTGTCATTGTGTTTTGGATTTAATAAATCACAATTTATTCTGTTTCTTTGTTTAGATGAATTTGAATATATTACTGGCTGATTTTAGTTTGAAAACCATTGGAAATCTAAAAACATTGTACAGTTATCGGACCTTGTTTAAGTCAATCTAGTTTGGGATATAAATGACGAATTAAACAATAAACAAGCTGATTTTATTAGGAATGTATTACCCGCAGATAGTGTACTTCATACTGATTAATCTTTTGAAACAATGAAGTAATATATAAGTTTATATTGATTGAGTAAGGTAGCTGGTATATGTTATCAGTGCTTAACCATCCCCTATCTGTATGACCATAGTTGATCGATGTAAGAGTAGGCTATCAAATGGACAACCTAACTGTATAAATCAGATGAATTATAGAACTGTGAACTCAATTTTATAATCAGTGAGTCATGGGTTGCAGTTCTACTTTTATTCATCAGAGTTCTATTAATAATGCATTGAAATCTCATTTACTATGGAGAAAGTGTCATAGGTTCGGTTGTTGCTTCATATATTTTAGGCAGGCAGTCAGTCTGGTAACATATCTACCTCTCATATATAATGTATCATCCAACATGATACTGAGTACGGGAATCTGTATTTTAGTCTCCCAGGTTACATTGAATAACAATACTTTGTTGATCTTCAAAAAAATAATTATCACTGAAGAATCGTTTTATTTTGTTGTTGTTGGATTACTCAACTTTCTTTTTATACTTTTTCCCTTTGAATATCAGCTATTCCGAGAAGTGAATATTATGAAAATGTTAAATCATCCAAACATCGGTAAGACACAATTTTTATGGTTATCATTGTACAATAATACATTCCGTTATTGTTGTTAAACCTTTTATATACATTAAAAACAAAAAAAACATTATTTTGATAACATTTGTTTATTCTTTCCGTTTTGTAATTTTCTTTTCCCTCCAAAGCATTTAGAGTTTTACGTCGAGCATACGTCCACCGACGCATGCCCTGGGGCTGGAGTTATATGGTGACGTATATTCAATGATTTTTGGTAAAGACAAAATAAAAACCGTATTTTCTCTCTAATTTGTCACACTTTATATGTGACCACATTTTATTCAATATTTGTTGTTTTTCTGTATTACTTGTTAATAACGATGATAATTGTTTCGATAAATAATATACGATTTTACTACCGCGTGGCTTAAAAATATAAACCACTATCTACACCATCTTTTTTTCTGCTTTATTGACCACGGTTTTTAATTGAAGACTATAATGGTATTATAACATCCCTTTAGCCCCTTTCGACACCGCGTTGGAATTTCTGGTACGAGTTATTATATTATAATACTATTGGACGCAGTCTTTCTCAATATGCCGTTGGTGCAATTACTTGCAGAGGAACCTTCGTTAATTGAGTGAACTTATTTGTGGTTGTTATTCTCACGAAGCAGCACACAAGTAACATTTATTCTATAGTAACTGTTATTGTCTGTTTACTTAATATACCATTTGTATCGTAACTATATTTTGTTACTCTTGGCTTTTACTCACAGACAGACACCTAATATATTTTACTGTTAACTTTCTTGGTATATTATTATTAATCTAGCGTGTCGATATCTCTTGTTTAAGCTCCTTTTGTTGGGAAGCACCACAAATTTAGTCAGAAATGTGGAATAGATAAATAACCAAATTACATGTTTTTTAGCAAAGAATTTATGCAGTTGTGATTTAAATTGAGTTCATGAATATTAGATAAGGTCAGCTACTATTACTTGAGCAAAGCATAACATGGGCTAAGTACCGCATTGCAATGCTTTTATTATTTTGCTCCCATTTAAGTATTCCCATGCATCTGTGTCTAGTTTAACAGGAAAACATACAAGCAGAGTAAGTGTCTTATAAACTAAAAGTCTCAGTTGTCAAAAAGATTCTTAACATTTGTCCACAGCCAGCTGCATTTAATTGAGACACAGAACACTCATCTTCTAAGACTGTATACTGCTGTTTTGCGTGCAACTAAAAGCTCAGACGCTTAGCTGTCTTGCTACCGATGTTATTGCAGGGGAGATTGTTAAATGACAGTGATCATGAAATATGGTCAGTGATAGATGTACAGTCTAGAAATAAACACCAAACATACTTATCGCTATCTTATAATGTATGACAGCAACAGCATCAAAGGCACGTTTTTTCCTATTTTTAATCAGACTGATCTGAATCAGTATACTCATTAGAAACAGGCAACTCTACTTACTAAACTGATCTGTTTCGTTACAGGCTTCAAGCACTATACTTAAGTGTACCATAATTCTTTCAACTAAACTGAATTAT